TTAAAATGTTTTAAAAATGGGGATAAGATAAGATTTTTTTTTCTTCTGCAGTTGGGTCATGCCAGAAAAGGATTTTGAATCACTCCTTTTAGAAATGTTTAACATGCAGGGTGTTTCAGGGGAGTTTGGACACCGCCCAGTGATTTTAAGAACTGAAACAGGAAGTGAAACTATTTAAATGGCAGTGTTTGCTTTTAAAAGACTTTTTAAAAATTGGTTTAAATTAGACTTTTTAGGCTTTGTCTTGGTATGGTGTACAGCAGAAACATGCTAAACACAAGCAGGACTGCGTTACTTAAAGGATGCATTATTTTATTGATCATCAGCATCTCTTTTTTCTACTTTTGATCAAAAATCTGAATGTATGGATAAAGCTTATGATGCAGATGTGATGAAAGAAGAAAAGCAATAAAATAAAAATAAGTATATTAAAACACACACACACTAGATACCGATGGATACTGTAAACATCTTCACGTGTTTGATTATGGCATACATACACAATCAAACATTATACAGTTTGCTAAAAGGCAACAACAGACAAGAGATGATTTATTGGTAAACAGTCCACACGTCTTGAATATATCTTTAAATTCATAACTGCTGCTAATGTTTCTTGTGTATAGATTATAGAGATGCCAAAAAAAGAGTTTCCAGCTACCATTGTGTATCTACTAGTGTCTGAATTTAAATTATATTTAAAGTAAAAATATATAATTTTCTTGTAGAAACCACAATGAGATTTCCTGTTTGTTGGTTTGTTGGTTGGGTAGTGACTTAGTGAGAAAACAGTAATTTGCTGTTGCACCTCTCACTTCCAGTGTAAAGTGACGATAGGACTTGTCATCTGATTGCTACAAGACAGCACAGCGAAAACTTGAAATTTTACCCCCAGCTTCCGCTGCATTCACAAGACAGGAAGTAGATTCATTCTGTTGAGTAAAGAGCATGGTGCTGGAAAGACGTGGAGGACACTTTTAAAGAGTGCTTTACATGTTATTAGGAAGCCCACACACTCCACCAGTGAGCCATGAGCAAACGGAAACTGAGTAAGTTATGTTTTTTTTTCTGATGGGGAATTATTTGGAAAAGTACTTGTCATCTGTCGCCCTAAAGGATCCAGCAAAAGTAAATCAAATCCGTCAGTGAGAGAAACACCTGATGGTGGACTGAACTTTCTCTGATTTTAGGCTGATTTTAAAAACTGTTTAAAGTTTTATATTTTGGTGTAAAATACTAAAAAGAAAAGGTAGTGACAGCAGAATTCACACAAAGCATACACAGTAAAAAAAAAATCTTTGCTCTGAAATCCAGCAATATTTTTTTCTAAAGTTTAGATCGTCCAAAGGTCACAAGATAAAACTGGTTGGGCATGACATGAATTAAAGTTGTGCTTATGTTCTTTACAAAGCTTAAAACCTCAGTTTCAGGACTGAAACAGTCATTTTCCAACATTTTTGTTGGATGACTTATCAGTCATCTTACAACATTGCAGATCCACTAACAAGGACGTTTAAATTTAGGTGAAAGGCGTAATCCTTCTAAGTAACAGTACAAAAGTTGTGGCATCAAACTAGCCTGTGTCTCTCTGCTGGGCACGCAGCTTTTTCTGAGAGAAATCTACAAATTTCATGTGACATGTTGTAAATAGATATTTGGGATCTTGATCATCCATCCGTCCATTCTCTTCCGCTTATCCTTATCAGGTTCATGGGAGGATGTCAGTTCAATTCAGTTCAACTTTATTTATATAACTCCAAATCACAACAACAGTTGCTTCAATGTGGTTTGTATGGTAAGATGAGGACCATATGATAAAACAGAGAAATACCCAGCAACATTATGAGCAAGACCTTTGGCGACAGTGGGAAGGAAAAACTCCCTTTTAACAGGAAGAAACATCCAGCAGGACCAGGCTCAGGGAGGGGCGGGGCCATCTGCCGCTAACAGTTGGGGTGAGATGAGGAAGACAGGATAAAGACATGCTGTGGAAGAGAGTCAGAGATTAATAACAAGTAATAATTAAATGCAGAGAGGTCTATTAACACATAGTCAGTGAAAAAGAAATGCATTATGGGAATCCCCCAGCAGCCTAGAATTATTGCAGCATAACTAAGGGAGGATTCAGGGTCACCTGATCCAGCAGTAAACTGTACGCTTTAGCACAAAAGAAAGTCTGATCTTACAAGTAGAGATGTGTCTGTCTCCTGAATCCAAGCTGGGAGCTGGTTCTACAGAAGAGGCCTGAAAACTGAAGCCTCTCCCTCTCATTCTATTTTCAAATAGTAAGCCTGCAGTCTGAGAGCGAAGTGCTCTAATAGGGTGATATGGTACGATGAGGTTTTTGAGATAAAATGGAGCCTGACTATTCACAATCTTGCATGTGAGGAGCAGGATTTTAACTTCAATTCTGGATTGATGAGAATACATGAGAAATATGCTCTCTTTCTAGTCCCTGTCAGAACTCTGGCTGCAGCATTCTGGAGCAACTTTGAGGGTTTTTAGGACATCCTGATAATAATTGCAGCAGTCCAGCTTAGAAGTAGGAAGTAAGCCTAATAAGGCATTTGAAGACATTAATTTTTAAAAACGTTTTACACACAGGTGATAAATTACCATTAAATGTTCTAAACTGTGTTGTAGAAAAGTCCAGTGACTGTGTATTTGCAATGGAAGCTGCAGAAACTGGACAGCGGATATAAAACCACTCTCCATGTTTAATTTGTGTGTGACGTCTGTTTTTCACTAAATGCAATCGGGTGAGAATTTGTGTATTAAAGTAGTTATCAGTGTTGTTTTTGCAAAGCAGATCTTGATCTCAGTCAGACTTCCTGACACAAAAGTATTTTTACTGCTGCCTTGCCACTTCTGCTTACTCTTATCACTGCGGCTGGTGCTGCACATTTTACTGTAATTGATAGTTCAAACACCTCCCCCTCTGCTGTGGTCTTCTGTTTATTCTTTTAGCTAAATTCTGTTGCTGTCTTTAATAGTTCTGCCATTTTTGATGTTCACTTGTGTTCAGTTCACTTTCTTTGCTTTTTTGTCTGTCGCTTGCAAACCTTTTTCATATGTTTGACTGTTGGTAAATTGCTGTTGCCATCTTATTTTTCCAAAGCCCGACGTAACTGTTACATGCAAAGGTAAAGCTGTCAGCTGAAGCTCACTGGCCTGGTTGGCAAGCTGCTTCCATAGAAAGGATATTTGCACTGGCAACAGATAACTAGTGAGGACAGATTGGACTTCACAGCAAGCCTCAGTGCTGAAGAGGGATTCATCATTTATTACACAACTACAGGCTGCAGCTGTGTTCACGCCCCTGATTAAGGAAACTTTAAACAGCTCACTTATATTAAAACTCCAACTGCAACTTGCAGACTTCTGAAATATGCTTTATAATAAAAGCCAAAAGAATTTGAAACAATTTATTAAATTTGCAACCAGATATTGTTTATTGTATGTTTTTAAATTATGTTTTTAATCTGATTGGAATATCAGAGCAGCCAAATGACAAAAGCAGCGTCTTAAATTTGGTTTTGAGTCTGGTCTCCTAAAGACAACCTGCGCGCTGTCCTAGCAGACTCAGACTGACACAGTCACTCTCTGACTGACTTTCTAATAACTACCTTTTTATTTGTAAATGCAAACAGATTGCCTATGCATGGCAGTCAATCTTACGCAGCACCCAGTTTGCGTCTTTGCAGTCGGAGGTTCTCCTTTTATTCAGCTGGTTGTATTCATGTTATATTCCCAGATCTTTGAGCTTCTGGCTGGATTATGAAAGTAGGTTTCTGTGTATGTGGATGGCAACAGATATGTGATCTTCACTGATTTATCATACTTAGTTGCCACATTTTCACAAAGTGATTTCATGCAATTGCTAACTTTCAATCTAAAAAATAAGAGCAGACTAACTCAGTTTTGATGCACCAAAGTGAGACTGAAGTGAGTGATCGCAGTCCTTCGAAGCAACCATTTCAAAAGCGAGTAGGGAACTTGTTCATTGCACAAAGTTACAGTAATTTTAGTCAGACCGCCGTCTTCCACCACAGTTTTTCTTGGTGTGACTTTAGCATAACACACGACAAGAAATGTTACTTTGAACCAACTTTAATAATTACCCTATTTTGTTATAGCTAAGTTTATTAGTTGTACTCAGACTGTAATTTAATATAAACCTTCTACTTGAAGTACAGATTCTCACTTTGACAAATTGTTGATTATTTTCATGGTAAGTTATTTTTAATTTTAGGTACAGTGAAATAAACAGTGTTAACCCAGAAATCCCAATTTTCTGTTGCTACAGTGGAGTGCAATGCAACACTTTTTCAGTGTAGAAGCATTTTTAAAATTAAGCAATCTCTAGTGGTTATATGTAAAAGCATATAAATAAAATGAGCTCAGGTGGCCACTTTTAGATCGGGCACAATCCTTACTTACCTATATAAGCTCAGTCACCATAAACTCGAACCCCAGTGCACCGTCTCTAAGTCTGCTGGAGACAAAATGAATGAAAACCATCCATTATCTGAACTGAATCTGAACTCATTCATACCTTAGATTATTTCAGAATCACCATTCAACACAACATGTCTTTGGGCTGCGGCAGGAAGCTGGAGCATCAGGAGAGAACACATGACACTAAAGAAGTGCCCTGAAACAGGAACCTCTTCCTGTGATGCGACATTGCGACCCACACCATGATATGATAAAATACATCTTGTTTAACATCTGTTGATATCAGTCACAAATATACTGAGCATTAAAAATCCCCCCAAAACCTTAGTGTAACTTATCACAGGTTACATTTATAAATATTATAATATGGAACTGTAAGCGGAGGAAGTAATCTAAAGCAAACATATTTGAAAATGTCTTGTATGTATGGTACATAAGACATGAATAATATTACTATATATTAACTCTTAGTAGAGCTGAAGTAGAAAAGTAGTAGTAGAAGCACAGAGACAGTGGTAAAATTCAAATTCAAATTTTATTTGTCACGTACACAGTCATACACAGTACGATATGCAGTGAAATGCTTGGACAACTGCTCGTGACCTAAAGAAAACAAAAAGGAAAAGGCTATGAATAAGATAGGAAATAAATATGAAAAATTAAAAAGGGTAAATTTAACTAGGAAGGAATAAAATATAAATTAAGGTTAAAAATGAAATAACTGTACAACACAAATTAGAATGAAGGGTAAATTTAACTGGGAAGAATAAGATAAATATATAAATTAAAGTTGAAAATAAAATAACTGTACAACAAAATACACAATACACAATATAGAACTATATAAGAATGTATGAAGAAATATAAATAAATATATACACAATAACAGCAGCTGTACAAGTATTAGACGAGTCTGGTAAAAGAGGCTGATGTAAGTTTATTTGTGCAAGCCCATAAATGAATGTGCTCTATTGGCGCTCGTTCCAGCGTGTCCGCTGTTGCTTTGTCCACTGTTCCACTTACAAACATCTTTTTGCTCCATTGTTAACGAAGCATAGACGTGCCTTTGTGCTGTTTGAAGGGACAGCGGCCCGGCTGAGCGCACAGAGCTGAGCTAAGAAAAGACAGCGAATTCCTGCTGACAGGACAACAGGCCTCTGTGCATCTCTTCTTCTGCTGCTTGACTTGGTAGCTGTCTTATAAAAACTGATTTTTTGAGGCAGCCTGAGGACATTTATTCGCTCTGTGAAAACAAATCAGCTTCAGGCTTCGGGACAACAAAAACCTCCAATGGAGCTCAGTTGAATAGTTTTAAAAAGTTCAAATTTTAGAGTCACGTTGTTGCTTTAAGTGTCACGTTGTCCTTTGACATTTACAGAAATAGCCAAGGATCATAAATGCTGAAGTGAATCTGTTTGCTGCAGAAAAACATTAATTTTGGCACATCGTGGCATTATTTTTCTTAACAGAAATTGGCAAAGGACGTAGCTGCAAATTTTGTAAAATCTGCTTGTCTGCTGTTATAATTTGGCACTATATACATAAATCTGATTAGAGTTAACAGTAGATAATTTTTCCTCAGTTCCTCAAAGTAATTGTATCTCAAAGAAAGCGAAACCATTTTAAAAACAGAATGAACTCAACGCCTAACAAGTTCTTTGGGATTTTTGAATGTTTCTACAACCAAGCGAATACAGTTGCTACCAAAATAAAACAGGAAGTGCATGTCAGAGAGACAAAGCATGTATTGACAACAAACAGAGGGAGACAAGGGGAGTGAAAAACAGTCCAGGTAGCAGGCACGCACAGTCGGGCCTGGTCTGGGCTACTTTTGGTACGTACGGTTCAGTTATGGCACCATCAGGTGCTCTGTGGGCATAAAGCAGGTCAGGCATGGGTTATAGAAAGTACTATGTGGGCCAGATGTGCCCCAGATGTCACAACTGATCTGACCTCTGGCTCAAGGTTCAGTGTGGTTCATAGAAAACCACAGATGTGGGCCATATCTAGGACAAATGTTCACTTCTCTCTGAGATGAGACAGCACTAAAAAACACAGAGAAGGGGATGAATTAAGTAAAAACAGGAAGCAAAACTGACCATAAACTTAACAAAACTCAACAGCATATAAGGAATAAATGACACAAAGGGAAATGCCCATATCTGTTTATTGGAAAGAGAGGAGGTTTTTAAGTTGATTGTATAGTACTACAGTGTTTAACTTAACTCCACTGAGTGGGATTTACTCTAAAATATGACAGGCAATAAACATTTTCTCATTTTTATGGTCATGGAAATCGATTAAGAACAATGTGGAAGTGACACATGCTGGCTCAAGTGTAAAAGATAACATCAACCCCATCTTTGTATCTCTCTCCAAATCATGAGTCCATGTTTAGCTGCTGAATTAAATACACAACAGTCAGTGCTTCCAGAGCCTAATTGGTCCTTTGGGAAAACACTTGAACACTGGTGAAAGTTCAGGGGCTTCACCTCATAAGAGAGAAACAAGGGTACGATGACATTCCTCAAATGCCTCCAACGCAAAGAAAACATGTTGGTTTGCAGCTGTAGGTCTAAATAGGGACATAATGGCTCTGCACTGATGCTAATGTGTGTTTAAAATGTGCATGTTTGTGTCACTAAGGGGCTAACCCAAATTAAAAAGATGACCCTGTGCAGGGATCAGCCAGTGCATCGCTGCAAAACGAGCCAGATTAAAATCATTTTCTCGCGTTTAATCTTGATGAATTTGGGGTTTTTCAGTTTTTAACACACACGTTGTGTTTTCCTGTTTTTCTATTTTTTAAAAGATAAAAGATGACAAAGAAATTGATTGAACTCACTCAGCAAGCAAAAAAGTTGAGAAACTCTCTGACTAAAGATCTAAAGTCAGAAATATAAAGACGTCATGAACTAAAAAAACAATAAAAAAAAACTGCATGTTTATGTTTCTAAAACAATTCTGATAAACAAGCTTGAAATCACAGACTGTATACAAAAGATGGAGGCTACCATGATGTCCTTTCTTTTTTGAGCTCTTATTTTGAAGATAATTTTAAACACAGTCTCACAGTATTTTAAAAGGATTCCAGGAATAATCTGACTAACAATGTTGCCTGGTATGAGTTACGGTATGAGTCATCTAAAGATTTTACTGAGTAAACGTCTATTAGCAAGTAACAAATCTGTAAAAAATAAAACAAACATGTGGGTATATAAAGTCTGTGGTTCTGACACAAGCCTATCACTGTTCCTAAAAAGGTGTTGTTTACTTTATATATATATGGTTAGGTTTATATATGGTTTATATATATGGTTTAGGCCCTATAAAAGCACTACTAATTACTCGGTTTCTGTGGTTTGGTTCAAAATATGAGGTTACAGGTCGACTATTGCATTTGAATGTGATGCCAAGAGCTTGTTGCTATTGCAATTTGTGACATGCTGTGAGTGAGAATGAGCCCTGCTGCACAAAACCTTTGGACAGAAATGTGAGACAGCAGCAGCTTTGAGAAAACATCTGTATACGACACAACAGGGAGGTAACAGCTGGCATTTTAGGTCACTGCCAGGTGTTTCTTTCTTCTTCTTCTTTTTTTTTAAAAATAAAACCAGACCTCATACAGGGATCTGACCAGGAAGCCAAAATCACAGTACACTCTATACTCTGCTTACCCATCTATTTCACTCTAAATGGGACTAACATTTACAAAATGAACATCACATTTTATTAAGCAGGTCTGTCGCTCTGTGTTAGCCCTACGTCAGATTGGTGACCTGTCCAGGGTGTATACTGTGTCTCGCCCTATGATAGCTGGGATAGGCTCCAGTCTCCCTGCGTCCCTGATAAGGACAAACGGAAGAGAATATGTGGATGGAGGACTTTAAACGGGCAATTAAGACCATAAAGTCACCAGCAAAGTGTATACTGATGTCATAGATTAAATCAGAAGAGGCTAATTTTCTCATAGTCTTCTATACATTCAGACATCTTTATGCAACCAAAGGAGTCGCCCCCTGTTGGCCATTCGAAAGACTGAAAGCACTTAGGCATTGGCTTTTGTGTTTTCCATCTGCGTAATTTAAAAATGCTTTTATTAATGTTTTTGCACTTAAAAAAAAAAATTAAACTCCTTTTTAACTAACTCTTCTTCTCCAGATTTAAAACTGTTCGGGAGCCTCTCCAATCTCTCCTTCCGCCGCTCAACAGGGAAGAAGAGCACCAAAGCGTCCCTGGAGTATGATGGGAGCTTTTCCGGGGACAAATCTGCAGGGATGGGCAACCAGTCGGTGGACGACATGGAGTCCTGCCTCCACAGCCCCACCTACGCCCGCTCCTGTGAGATGTACACACATGTGGGGACTGTGCCTCGCAATGACAAGCAGAAGAAGAGCTTCAAGGGGCTAAAGGAGAAGAAGACCAAGACAGAGGAGGAGGAGGAGGAGAAAGGGATGAGTGAGAGGCAGGGCAATTTGAAGGCGGGAGAGCATGTCCGGGACTCGCCCCTGCTTGGTGCTCTGACAAGCCTTAGTGTGAACAATATGGAAAAGCCTCAGCCTGCTTCTACGTTGGCCCGGTCACTGCCAGTGACACCGACATCCAGCCGGACTTCACCTTTGACCTCAGAATCTGACAGCTGTGATCCTGCTGTGGAATCTTTAACCAGCAGTGAGGCATTAAAGAGCAAGAATGATTTAGAAACAGCCAGAGAGCCTTCAGTTAAGAGCCACAAGGCTGCTTCGAACCAGGATCTGTATGTGCCGATGGATCCTATAGCTGAAACAGCCCACAGCCACCTGGACCCCCAAACAGAGAGACTGCGAGGCGTCACACGTACACAGGAAACCACCACAACCATGAAAAGCTCACAGGAAGTGGAGTATGCTGACAAGTGAGATGTTTATTTATTTTTCTCTCAGAAGATGCAGGTCAGAAATACACAGCCTGATTGTTATTCAGGCAGTCAATTCATATCAGTAGAAAAACGTTTTTAGTTAGAAACATAAGAAAAACAGACTGAAAATTCACAAAAGTGTCTTTGTGAGACTTAAACTATTAGTAGAAAATAGTAATAATCACGAGAGATTGAAAAAGGTCATGTTTCATGACCTCCTGACACCCAGCTGCTTGTTAGTGGAAATTAATTTAATATTGAGTTGACCTGAAATAAATCAGTCACTTAATCGATCACTGATCTATTAAATTATCTGTTTAAAAAGAAAAAAGATATAAATCTTAAAAATAGAGCATAAAAATTAAATCAACTTAAATTAAATTAAAAAATAATATAAAATGCACAACACTCTATAAGCTCGAGTCACTGAATCAAATAATGCTGGATGAAAATATTTAAAATGAATAGATCTAAAATGTAAATATAATGAAACAATAGAAAATATTGTCTGTAACAGAAGAGACAATGAAAGTAACTCTGTGGTAAAATAATAACTAATTAATTATCGAAAAGAAAGTAAGTAACATTATGACACTCTCTAAAAAATAAAACTCTCAAATATTCAACACGTGAAGATTAAAATGCACTGTGAAAGTGGCTGTCGCTGCGGACATGCGCAGTAGCTCCGCTCCCACTCACCGCGGCTATCAGTCAGCTGGGCGAAGCCGTGAGGACTGACCTCGGGACAAGATGTGTGAAGTTGGGGACTTAAAGTCAAGCGCGGTGAGGAGGGAAAGGTGAGAAAACCGCTTCCGCTATTAACTCTTTACCCACTGGTGACACGGAGCCAGGCTGTGAGATCAGGGTTTGTGTTTCTTGAATAAGAACACACACAGTTAGTTTTTTCTGAAACAGTGAGACAGTCAGAGAAAACTATCTGTCGCGATCATCTGTTAATCTGCTTCGGGGAACAGTCTCAGCTCCGAGGCTTTGATATTTTTATCCCTTCGGTCGCTTTTCTTTTGTTTGAAGTATATTTGTAAAGGCGGAAATAGAGGCGTGTTTTTGGTTAGTTTGGTGCCATAAAACCTGAAACGAGGATCAGTAAAACATTTACTGGCTACAAGTCGACTTTGAAGTGAGTCGGCTTGCTGGCTCTGGACCGGTCTGTTAGTTACATAAGCGGAGGAATTTGATCCTGCGCTGCTTCACTCTGAAGAGTGATAAGACTTCTTTGGCAGAGATGCAGCAGCAGGTTTAACTTCGTCTCTTTTCCACCTGACTTGTATGTCCCGCTGCATGCTGTCACAGGTTTGCGACCTTGTGTCAGTCGCTTAGTGCTGGCTTCAAGGAAAAGCATCCCACCTTCTGCTGCTTTAATCCAAATTATAAAAGAAATGAATGATTCTTGTACAAATAAAAGGCTATGAAAATACTTAAATGTTATGGCCCTGCAGGTAAGAGTCTATCTTAATCAAGCTGAAGTAAATGATTATGTCTTCCCAAATTGAACTTTTTGGTATTTTTCTTTTTTCAGTATATATTGTCTTGTTATTCCTGTTAACATTATGCTGTAATTAAGAATTTAGTTTGTAAAACTGTGGAAAAAAAATCATCAGAATTTGACTTTAAGTTAGTTTTCGTTTGCAAAGATCTGTTTCAAGCTTCTAAATGTCACCAAACATTTGAGTAAAACAGCGAAGTGACGGTGTGATTCGTGTAGATGTAATTATATCTGATACCAGTGCATTACTGGAAAAATAAAGCTCAGAGGTGCCAAAATTTTACAAAGTCAGAATCACAAAAATGCTCAAAATATTGATACGTCCAGAATCTCAACTTAATATACAGTTCATCGGACAGCTGTAATAACAGGCCTGCTAATTATCACCAGCCTGATCATTTGATTTGAACTCGCTTAACCTGCTAGAGAGTTCAAGAGGTTGATGAAGGCCAACAAGAGTGAAAGTAAAAGGAAATGTGTCTGTACCTATAAAAAAGAACGTCTGAAATGACGAGAATGCTGAATATTTGGTTGTTTTACTTAAAAAATCGGCTTATGTTGTTTCATTATGAAGTCTTATTGTTAGCATTTTGGCTCCTGTCATTTTATGTATTTATGTTTTGGAGACAGAAATAACCATATCTGAAGGAAAAGGTGTTTGTCTTCATTCATAGACTGTACGTGTGCATCACACAGAAGACAGGTACCTATCAACTAGTGCTAAGAATATCAGTCACCAGCACTGACGCTAACACATCTCGGATGTTTTGTAGCAGACAGAAAGTCGTATTATTGGTCAGATAATTCTATTAAAAACTCTCCAAAAAGCACAAACAACACAGACACAGTGAGTCATGTTCAAGAAGTCCAGTTAGGGCCGACGAACACCGGTTCTTTCAAACTCGAAGCTTTAGGAGAAAGAAGATCTCCCAACCAAAAATCCTCAGTATCTGTTAAAAAAACTAACATTAAACGGCTTTAAGACTCACATCAGCATCGAAGGAAAGCTTTTAGTTTGATTATTGACTTTCAGTAGCAGAATAAGAGGAAATGGTGTCCTGTAGCTGTCAGGGGAAAAGTCTCAGAGTGGATTTGTGGATAAACAGAGACGACTCGTCCAGCCTCCCATTAACAGTGTGTTTCTTTTAACTACTGGTGCAGTGCCTGTTCCGGGTAAGTGTAGCCCCAACTTACAGATTTTCCCTGACTGTGCAGTTAATTGGAAGTTGCTGGTTTGAAAAGACGACCGCTGTATGGTCACACTTGTTGAATGTGTGTGTAGTGAAAACATAACTGGATGACTTAAGCTGTTTGTCACAGGAAACCAAAGACTAACATTTGTTTAAATGCCTGTTTGTCTTTTTGAGAACCAGTCTGAATTTTGCTATTCCACATTTCAACCCTGCACCCACGGGACAGTACAAAGCCGTAAGATGTAGACGATGGTCTTCAAACCTCAGTGTGGGACCAAAACACCGCCATGTCGGACACTTTTAGATGTGGTATCGCTAAACTAAGTGACGTGCGTTCATGTGGATGAATGCCCTCACAAAGATATTTAAACAAACATGGCTGTGTTGGTGTGTGGGCCCCGTCCCTGCAGATAGAGTAGAGCCACAGTCACAGTAGTGGACTCACTGGGAACAGGAAAACGATGGGAACTCTTCATCCAAATGACCAGAAACCCATCAAGTTTGAGGCATATCCCGCGAACGATCGATGAGACAGGCGAATTGGAGATTTCTCAAATTATTACTAAGTAGTAGTAAGCGTAGTTTTACCCGCAGCGCAGCCGCAGAGGTGTCACATCAGCTTTCAGCTGTTCACAGTTTCGGAGGAATTGCACTGCCCGAACTCAGCACGTTCTGAATTCTCACCTTATTGCAATAAAGGAGGTAATTCAAGTTTAAGAAGCCATCAGAGCAGAAGTAGTCACTGAGGCTGAACTTGACCTGCTTTTAAAAAGTCATCCAGGCTTGGTGACTTTCTTTTTCCACTCTGTGTTTGTTGCAGTCAGCCTCAGCTCTTTGCAACTAATGTCGTTATTAGGGAAGCGTTAAACCACAGGCAGAGTCTCTCTGACTGTGTTGCTGTTGCTTGATGGCGTAACAGCTGCTGGCAGTCGGAGCAGGAACTGCTGTAAAATTTGGTGCTGGTTTGAGGAGTGCAGCCCTGAAGTGGAGGGAGTTTCCCCTCATGGATAAGGCCACTGCAAACAGTCTTATAACTTAACAGTGAACAGACTTTAACTGTGGTTCGGTCCAAGTGTGAAGAAAAAATGTGAGCAGAAGAATATTGACCATTTGTGACAGTATCCTGTCCACGTATAAGTGGACGTTGACCACTGGTTATAAGCTTATTCTTAGATATAGCTGCAGGTCTCCAGTTTGTCGCCTTTAAATAGAGATAAAAACATCTATCATTATATCTCACATCAGGTGACCTGAGCCGTCTCCTTACAAAGACCTCAGGGTTGAGGGCGCTACTCTTTTATCCTCTGGGTTGTTTGAAAAGTAGTGAAAAATTTAAACACAATCACCGGGCAACCACCAGCTTTTTTCCTGTTCTCAAGGAGGTTCACATCCTATTTTTACAGAATTCGTCATTAATAAGTAATAAGCTACATTCCTCATTGCAAGGAAATGACTGAGTCATTATGTGTTTTGAATGGAAAAATAAGCTTAACTTTTTTATAAATAATTACATGAATATAACAAATATATAATATAATACAATATAAATGTTCTGAACCTGCGTTTATTGGTTAAGTAATAAGCTACAGTCAATTACAAGATAGATAAAAAGAAAAAATGTAAAAAAAATATTTGCATTTGCACTTTCAGTATTTACTGCTATCACTGTGGTCGTTTGCTGTCACCCGGTATCCATACTCGCTTTTGAACCATTTGGAACATCTAGAAGAGGCTTTCATTTATTTTATTTTATCCTGTGAGGGAGAGGTGCTCTCTGTTTTTATTTGCTCCAAGGATCTCAGAATTGGAACATCCTGATACTTGGAAACTTGGAGTTTTTCAGTCCTGAGTTTGAAAAAGCAGGTATGAAGCAGCTTTTACTGGAATGAATGGGGTGCCGTGTTGTAACCTGGGAGTTTTGTCTTTGTCTGACTTCCTGTTTATTATATTGTCCTCAATAATGCCATAAAAATACCCTCCTCCTCCTTCCTAGCCCTAAAGGGTTTAATCTAATAATTAAAACAGCCAGTGAGCGTCGGCATCATTCCCAAACAGCACAAGCAGTATATCAGGGCTTAAAATCATCTGCGTGGGGTTTAGTTTTTGAATGCCAGCGCGTTTCTCATGCTGTATGTCCACATCTGTGAGTGTGTGCTGCCTGTTCTCAGAGTTTGTATTTGGGAACAAAAGGTCACCTCCCTTGACTCCTGGAAGTATGCAGCCAGTTGAGGAAGAGCAGAGAGTTTCACCCTGCCAGTGTGCTGTGTTTCTGCGCTGACATAATGCATCAAAGCTGTCAGAAAGAAACAAAGCTTTTGCTTTTTGGGAGTTTTTTTTGTTTAAAGCATCATTTGAAAAGTGTCAGTGGTCCTCTGGGTGCTGAGTTTAGTTTTGTGAGCCCCACAGGCCTCAGATTTGGTGAGGATCCAGCTGTTGTGTGGATGGACATCATGGAGAAAAAATGTTTCTTTTGCTTCAGTCTTGAAAAACAGACGGTTTGCAGATACAAGCGGGAATATTCCCGACCCTCCCTGGAGGAGTTTGTTGGGTTGCATGTTGTTGCTGGGCGGTGTCGAATGAACTCACTGCTGCTGTCAGAGAGTTTCGCAAGAGGGCCGATGGACAGCAGACAGCATAAAGCATGTACAACTTCTGCTGCTGCTACCAGAACTAACTGATAATACTGCTACTCACTTATCAAGATATGGGATTTTTTTAAAAATCAAGTAAATTATGATGACAAACAATAAGGAAAACGTGCTGTTTGAAAACAGGGCTGTTGGATTTCCAGCCTTTAATCAAGGCTGAACAATAAAAGACAAAAGCTGAATGTGACCGTGATGACAGTTGTTTGCTGTTTTATCTGATACCATAGAGTTGCAATGTCAATGACCACGACTCTGCAACAGTTTAAACTCTAATCTTACATGAGTGCGACAGGAAATATGTCACAGTAGATGAAAATTACAAAACACGTTGAATGTTTGTTGAAAGTTGCATAAAATGTGGTTTCTGGAAACAGCAGGCGCTGTAGACCCCCTGGCTACATTTAGTAGTTACCTGAGTCAGACACACTGAATCCTGTGGAGCTTCAGTGGATGATGTAGCAGTGTCAGCTATTTCACCACCTTGCAGACTCTACTTTGATTCTGACGCGTCGCAGAAGAACTCTAAAAATAGTGCCAGCTGTAGCTGCACAGAGCAGATGGGGGGTTAGGACGACATGGTATGGTGTAAACATGACATGCAAACACTCAGCTCCAGTGTTTTAACTGACTCCCAGCTATAGACTGTATAAAAGTTGGACATAAATATTGTGGCGTCTGATACTGGTTAGTAAAACACCGTCATGAAGCTTTGAGCTCAGCGGCCTCTTGGTAGTTTGAAACCAGACATGACAGGCGGAGGTGGGCGGGGGGAGAGGTCTGACTGAACCACCCCACAGTTGCTAGTTCTCAACTTCTCAATTACAAGTCATAGGCAGCTGATCAAGTGGCGGGCGATTCTCTCTCCTCTAACAAGGCTCCCTGAGAAACACGAGAGCTATACTGAAACTTTGATGTTTTATGATTTTTTTAATAACATGCTGACGTCAGCCATTTTTTTTTATTACAATATGATCAAGGGCAAATGCTTACCCTACCTAGGTACTCGTGCCCCCCAAGGCCTAGCTTAGTGTTGTGAAGTTTGAAGACGATCCATAAAAACTTTCTGGGTAATATAAAGTTTTTAATGATTGTCACATTTGCTGTGATCTTTTTCACCTAAATTAAATCAGCGCTAGATGCTGTTGAAGACACAAATTCTGAGAATCATATGTTAAAAACGCTAGACTGCTAACTGACAGATATGAGCTTAAAGTAGCAACTGAGACCAGAAACTATTTAAAATTGTGTTTAGTGAGGTCATACAGCAATGAGCTGAGTGCTGTTTCACATAGACTTCTATACAACGTCTTTGTCCCCCTGGTGGTCATTAAAAAGAATACACATTTAGGGCACTACCACTTTGGCTTCACTTTTCCGACACAGAAACTAGTCATTGGTCCCAGATTCTTCCTGCTTGGATCTTTATTGTATGTTTTCTTTTCCCATAGCTGCTCTGTTGATCTCTACTGAGCAATTCATGAACAAAAAAAACAACTTAATTTATTCAGAGCAGCCATCATTCATGAAAACACAGTGCTTGTATCGCATCCAATAAGTAACAAAAAATTAAAAGTAGAAGAAAAATAAATAAACAAATACTAACCTGACCAATACAGGATTTTAAAGACTGATACTGATATTTGGTGATTTTGTTTTTTTCTAGCAGACAGATGAAACAAACACATTTTTCAAAAATGTGTTAATCGTAGTTATTTATTTATTTACTTGATTGACATCTGCTAAACTCTGCTCAGATCACCTGGAGCTTATTTGTGGCTTTGGATGTGTTGAAGAGAGAGAACCCTCTTCTATAATTTGCTTAGTTCAATATTTATTTTGCCCTGTTATTAATACCTCATTAGACTCTTTTCTTTTAGAAACTTTCCTGTGAATTATTAGCTGTTAGGTAACTGGGGACTCTTACAAGAAAAAGTTCAAATTAATATTCTTAATAAATCAAACTTGTTTCCTTTGTTTTTTAGGCATCAGGACATGACAGATGGTGGAGGAGAATATGTGAAAGTAAGCTTACCTTTTTGTGCGACTTTAAAGTACATTTGACTCTCATTTTGATTCAGCTTCCTTTTGCTTTCTCACTTCCTGTGGTCAAGCCTTTTTCCAGCTGTATATGGACCTCTCAGCAAACCTCTGTGATTCCCTACACTCGGCTCTGTGGCTCTAATTCAATCAGGACAGTGACAGAAAAGCCTCGGGGAATGCAGCCCCTCTGCGGTGACAGACTTTTGAGCCGACTTGGTTACCGCTGGCAATGGTGGCGTCTCGGCCGGCGGCCTTGTTTAGGAAAGGTGGAGAGAGACCCGGAGAGCAAGATGATTTCCACTCCATTGACTTATAATTAGATACTTGACAAACACACTTGTCTAAATGTTACAAGCTGCCAGTGAATGATAATGCTAATGAAATTAGAGCTGGAGGCTTCCAGGTCTTTACCTCACAACACACACACCATCTTATTTTGTTTTGAAGTGGTCCTGGCCCCGTTCCCAGTCTTTGATTCCCAGTTCAACGGGGCAAACCATTCTGTCAAAGAAGAAGGGGGTGGGAGGTGTCAGGGACCAGAAAAACAACATGTCACCTATAAAGCTGAGGAATGTGTTTGTGTGTGTGTCCACACTCCCAGTATTCCCAGCTTGTCCTTAACATAAATTTTTGTATACAGTAGCTTCTTCTTCTTCTTCTTCTTTTTGCATAAAGACACGACAGACAAAGGCCGCTGAGCGATGACCCCCATCTAACAATGACGTTGCCACAGTGACAAGGCCAAAACTCCAGCATGGGTCTGGGTTTTGGGCCTCTGGTGCCGCCACTGTGGATGCCAGTGTGGGAATGCCAGAGCTGTCAATCCTCCCTCTCTCTATTCCCCCTCCCTCATCCCACTCTGTCCTCTGTTAACAGACATTCACACAAAAACAGCAGAGAAGGCTGCAGATTGGCTACATGCTTGCATTTTAGCCATTTCTTTAAAAAGCCAATCTGGTTTACATTTTTTTTTCAGGAAGGAAAAACGCAGAAGATAAAAGACTCTGCTGGGATTTGACCTTTAGCCAGCAGAGGTCACACAATGGCTTAAACTCATGTTGTTGCCTTCCTGTGTTCGTACATGGGGAGGTTGTTTCTCAACGTGCGCCTGTCATGTCTTTTAAGTTCTCCAAGGAGAAGTTCTGGTTGGAGGCGCCGTCTGAGAAGCTGAGGAAGCAGCTGGAGGAAGAGCTGAGGCTGAGCGGCACAAACCTGAAGAGCCACGCTTGGTACCACGGATGCATCCCCTGGCAGGTCTGCCTCTGACATACGCACATGCAAATACACACTTTTTTTTTTTTGCAGCTGTTGCATGAAAATTTCATAATTTTTAAAAACGCTTCTCATTACTTGTGTCATTTAGGGTTACACAAAAAGGATATGAATAAAGGATGTTTTTAGCTTTCATGCATTAAGGTCAGACAATGTTGAGAGAATCAGTTCTGGACTTTATGCACTGTTACTTATGCAGCACTCAGCAGTTGTTCAATGTTTAGGCATCGAGGGGTACTCAGTTGTTACGAGACAATTACACAGCGTCACTTGCATGGAACTGGGCATCACACGGGCCAGACTCTAATGGACTGTTTAATTTTGACCAAGCATTTCCAGGGCTGCAAAAAGAAACCAACACTGAAGTGACAAAAACATGCAGTTCCTCTAATGGCCACTTGAGACTGACGCCCATGTCAAAGTATATCCAGCAAACAGACATGTTTACAGCCTTGTTCAAAAAACTCTATTGAGCTCTCTTATCCACTGTATGGATTTTATTAATCTTAAGGGTATGACTGTTTTGAATGACAGGTGAGTCAACAGGTAGACCCAACAACTACCTGCTAGGCCTGACCTCCATTAAATTGACTCACCGAACTAGACCTCTCAACCATGTTTGGTATCTTGTGGAGCACTTTTAATGATGTTATCTGGCAAATAATATGGCTTGCTTTGTAGTAAATACTTTCCATGAATTTGGTTGTAGGTAGCATTAGCTAGTAAGTTTAAATATGTATGAATATTCCAGCTCTAAGAAACTAAGAAATGTGGTATTGACCAAAGACGAAGCTTCAAAATGCAGAGGCTTAAATCAGTGGGTGATCTCACAATGGCTACGTCTATTTATAGTCCAATTGCCCAACTGTGGTTCTGACGGCTACGTCAGGTAATATCTGGAAAAGTACATGTGGGGGAGAAAAAAAACAGTTCCCAGCATCTGCCCTGCAAGCAAGCAAGCACGTGTTTTCACCACAAACCAGCTGTGAACATTACGTAACAAAAATGGCTTTAGTTTCTTAGTTACTGATCGACGTCACTACAGACTAGAGCGTGGGATAGTAATCGATTAGAAATCCAGCAATGAAACAAAAACAAGAGAGTGGAAATAGTGGGCGGTGGTGGTTAAGTGGGTGTGAGGATGGTAGTGAATGGGGGGAGGGGGGGTATGCTCTCAAAGGTTGGTTTAATTTTAGTTTCTTTACTTTTCCTTTCACTTTTTTAAAACATTGGACTCCAGCTACTTCATCACCAAAGTTGCGAGGCTTGTGATGAAGCAACTGGAGCTAAAGAAAATTAGTATACTTAACCAATCAGGGAAACCTTCAGGAGTACTACACATCTCCTGACCCAGAGTGTAAGTGAGCGTGAACCAAAGAGTCAAAGTTTGTTTTTCAACACGTAACAAAAGTCTTGTAGGAGTGTGCATTTCCATACTTGTTCATACAGTCGAGCCCACTAACGGAAAAATATTTTTCCTGTGATGTGCTCTGTGGGCTGTTTCTTCACCGAATCGGTTGTTGGTTTTGTCAGATATTTGTCTAGGCTGTGAAAGGAAATGACTTTTAGGTGTTCTCCTTATTAGGACAGGGATTGTTTTGTGCAGATATGTGTGAATATGAAAGGTTTAGTGTTAGATTGTTAATCGGAATCTACACAGGTGATACTGAGTAACAAAAAAGTAACATAAAGAGTAATGTAACAAAGTAGTTCTACAGAGAATAAAGAAGAAAACTAAAACATAAAATGAAGTTTAAAAAATATGCAATGCACCTATCAAAAAGTCAGATGTATCCAACATCCTATGATGGAAGGACAAGCTGATAGGCTGATGTGGGAATGAAGGCTACCTGAAGGGAAAAGGTTGTTGTTTCAGGGGAAAAGCTCATGCTGGTTAAAAAGCATCTTCAATCTAAGAGACTAATGAGCTCACTGAAGCATGGATAACTATATCACCATTAGAACACCTTTTCTTTTGCATCTTTTCTTTTTTTGTCAGATTTGCTGCATTGCTTCCTGATAAAACAGAGAGTATCTTTGGGTTTTAAAAAACATATTATTAAAGCAAGCTTGTTTTAAAGAAATGCATTTGCCCCATCCAGCTAGAACTGGATTCAGAGCAGAACTGAACAATCAGAACCTGTAGAAATAACTTCCATCAGTTTTCTTAATTGCTTATCCAGTTGAGAGTCAATGGGGCCTGTCCCAGCAGACAGAGGGTGAAAGGTGGCTACACTCTGGACAGTTTGCCGGTTTATCGCAGTGCTAACAGAGAGACAGAAAACATTCACATTTGCAAAACCCAGAGAGAACCCATACAGTCACAGGAGAACCTGCAAACCCCACACAGCAAAGCCCAGACTGCAAAGCTTACTACGGCATTTATTCAGATACCACAGTCATGTAGCTATTAGGCCACAAGGGGGAGCGTCTGGCTAAACTTTGGAGACAGAATGATGTTAGAAGGAGTTCAGGTATACTTTATATTACAAAACCCCTTCAAAAGGTTTTTCTCTCTGTTCAATACATGCCAGCCTCTATTCTTAGTTTTGATTTTAAATACAAAAATCAAAAAAGCAGAAGCAGAAACGTTGATGCTTCCACTATTCTTATCAATCATTTAGTGTCAATACGAAAAGGGAATTTAGTGAAATAAAGGTCAGCATGATAGTGTTTGGAAATGCTTGTTTATTTTTCGTGACTCCTGTTTATTTAAATTAGTTTGACTTTATTTTTCCCCTGGTGGTTTCACCCTCCAGCAGCAGCTCTATCCAAGCCTCAAAGTTTGAGAAACACTTTCAGGAATGAGATTTAAACTAACTTGTATTTCTTCCTCTGTGTCTGAGTGTTTAGATGTGCAAATGTAAAAAAAAACTTTCACAAATATTGTTTACATCACTATTAAAAACAGATACATTTTGAGTTATGTGACTATTATTGTATTTTTTTAACCCAATTCATTCCAAACATTTTTTAAATAAAATTAATATATCAATTAGACAACATAAAATAAAAGTCAAACATCACACTGCATTTTTAATCACATCGGTATAAATGTAAAAATGATGAAACGTCTAATAACTAACAGAAATTAAAACATCTGTTCAGGTGTCGGAGAGCCTTGTGGTGAACCATGGTGACTTTCTTGTCAGGGACTCTCAGTCCAGTCAGGGTGACTTTGTCCTTACCAGCCGGTGGGAGCAGAAAACGCTTCACTTCCTCATCGGGAAGGCGGTGGTTCAGTCCGCTGAGACGTACACTCGGGTTCAGTACAGCTTGGAGGGCGAGGCCTTCGACTCCTTACCTGCCCTTGTTCATTTCTATGTGGGCAGCCGGGCGGCTCTGACTCGGTGGAGCGGAGCTCAGATTCACCAGCCAGTCAACAGGACGTTGCCACTTAGCTACCTGGAGACGGCTTTCCGCACCACTGCCGTCACCTCATCGGGTCAAAGGGGGCTGAGGAACGGTAGCATGGGAGGAGAGGAGAGGGTCTGTCCGAGAAGGTGCGGTTCCACTTGTTTAATTCCTTTTAAGTTACGATTTTTATGTGTAACATAATAAACGCACAGCGTGAACTCATGTGAAAAACTATGACACACGAGGACTGTAAATGAATTGTCTGACTTTTGATTGTTTAAGGCTATAAAGTTTATTTTATAGTAAGAAAGAAAAACATAATCCAATAAAAAGTTTCCCACGTTGAATTTCTTGATTCACTTGGGGGAAAACAATGGAGGGCTTCATAGAGCAGTTAAGTAAAAACATGAACTCATCCTCTTTACAATCTTGTATTAATCTGCTACAGTAAATGTGGTGGATGAAATTAAAATGAGTCCTGTGGTTCTGTAATATGTGCCATCTCTCTCCATGTAGTCCTTCCTCTAACAACCACAAGGAGGCAGACGTGAACAGGGAACAGGATGGCCAGCTGAGTCCTGGAGAATTGTTTCTTTCTACTCCTTCTAGCCGCTGTAAGTTAAACCTTTTCTCTTCTTGCCTCACAGCTTGATAATCCCTAAATACTCATCAGTATTATGATAAATCAATAGTACAGCAGTAGGAAGAGGGTCAAAAAAAGAGTCTTATTTGGGTTGTTATTGCCCCAACAGCCTGGTCTGCCTGGCTTTTAGTCAACAGCCAGGAACTTCAACCTGATTCAGAGGATCTGTGGCTGTTTGCTCTCTGGCTTGTATAACCTCAGCAGCAGGTCACTTGTGTAGACCTGGGCTAAACCCTTAGACACTTTAACCTTTTAACATTTTTCACAATCGACATGATTTTATGTTTTAAATGTAGTCATTTTGCTTTTCCAGTAAAAGATGACATCTGATGAATAGTAAGAGTTAAAAGAAATCATTCAAAATTTATTCAAAGCTTAAAGTGTTTCCTTATCCAGAATTTAGATACTAAATGTGCATTAGTTCAGTCTTAAGAGAAGCATGACAGTGGACAGGCTGGACACAAACATAGTTGCTGTAATCTAGCTGATGTTTAATGCAAGGATGGGTCTCTGAGTTTAATGTATGATTATGTATAATGTATAATGAAGAATATTTATATTTCAATGTTCTAAACACAAAAGGAACAAGGAAACAGAAAAAAAGAGCAAAGTATAACAAGATCTGGGCAAGAATAATCAGGAATTCTAATAAAGACATCAAG